TAAATGTTTTTAAAGTCAAAGCATCTGTTTAACCCGTTTGTTTGTCAATAAGTTTATTTTTGACCTCCACTCTGTTTGACGTAATATTATCATCTTGGTATTGTCTGTTTTTTAATTACATTTTCTTACTTGAAAAATAAACTTAATATGTAACATCACATAAAGTTTTTTAGATATGTTTAAGATGTTTTATTGTTTTATTTAATGTATTCTTAGATGACTTAAAAGATTCATTTACAGATTATACAGTTGTTTCTTATGTAAATCATTATCAACATAGTCATTACCACAACCATCATCACCACCATATTTGACCAAATCCAGCAGTTCTGCATTTTTGTACGAAAATCAATGTAAAATGATGTATAAGATTTTCTCGTACAAATGTATTTGTTATAAATGACAAATAAATGCCTGAATAAAATATGCCTTATTGCTCTGTAGTTTTTCTTTAAAATGCAACTCCTTAAAGCTTAACAATTCGTTTCAATGAGTACATCCTAAATGGTACTTAAACCAATGTCAAGATGTTTGAAAGCAGTTGCAATCGCCATCATCTGCGATCTGCGATTTTAAACAATTGTCTTCCCATTGCAATTTAATGTATTCCCCATTTTTTTACATCTGTTTTCTTGAAAACTTTCGGTTACCAAGAAGAGATTAATATAATTGTAGTTTATATCATACGTGATTGATCATCTGATTTTCTCATTGTTATATAATTTTCTTTGATATTCTGCTAATCTGTTGTAAACAATTTATTAACATAGTTAGAAAAGTTACACAGGCAATGGACAGGTTAATTACATTATGCATGAAATATGATTTATTTAGTTTATACGGAATTCAGTGTAGACGCACTTTCAAACCAGCCATTACTGAGCAATTAGTGTAAAGTTTTTGCTCAAGGAAATAACGACTTGTCCCTGACGGGGCTTGGCCACATGTGGCAAGTGATCATTAGACTACTAGACGGACGCGTTTACCACTCGGCCATGTCGCCACATTATTACTTATTAAGTCTGAAGAAGCAGTTGATCATGCAGTTGAAAAATCCACTTTTGCTAAAGGAGACAACCAATCATTTGCTATGCTATTAAAAAGAAATCCGTTCTATCGATAAAAGTACACAATCATTTAAGACGAAAATTGTTATGATGGATTCAACGTTTGAGTGTATAGTCGAAAAATATAATTGAAAATTCCTCATGCACACTGGAAAACTCTTTTTATAAATACATGTAATTAGTTTAACTGTCGCACCGTTTGTGTTTTAGAGGCACCATATGACACTGTTTAGAAATATAGAGAAAGAGCATGAGGTATGGTCCAGAATGGGCGCAATCTATTGAAAGCACACAATACTTGTATTCATTTCAGTCTCAATTCACATTTGTACTAATGCTGTTATATCAATGATACCGTATTGATTTTGATTTCTGGCCATTATCAAGCATTTACATTTATAACAGTTGTAACACTTATGTGCGATAAACTCATTTCACTCTCAATTATTGTAACTTAAGTAAAAATTTTGTAACAACTGTGAAACAACCTTGTAACATATAGAGTTGATACATAGTTTCCACAGCATTGTTACAAATGTTAAGAGAATTAGGAATGAAAGACAAATTCATATACGATTGTTAAAATGTTCAAGATGACTCAATTGGTAAAGCATATGGTCTACAAATAAAAAGAAATCCGAACCAATATGGTAACGTAGATTTACAAAGTAGTTATATTTATTTCAATTTTGATAGAAATGTCACAAGAGCTAGAAATGAAATAAAAAACTGATATAGAAATGTTACAAATTAAATTTTGACAGCGCGAGTCATAAAAATGGTAAGAGATCTGGATGAATAGGGTAACATAGATTAGGCACTTTTGTTACATACTTATTACAGCATTGTAACTAACGCATATTTTTTACAAATGTTATAGATGTTATATGTGTTACAGCACAGTCTCTAAAATGGTCTGAAATGGGAACATATATGAATACATTGATGTTACAAGGCTGTTACAAAGTTTTTAAAAGCATGATCATTTTTGGGGGTCTGGCGATTTGTTCTTTCTATACATAAAATGTAGAAAGTTTCGAAAAAAAGCACCATTTTCTCTAGCCTGGGATTCAGGCTTTGATGTTTTTGCTTATTCATAACATACGCGCAGTTTCATACGTGTTCGTGATTTCATGATATCAACGCCTTGGGGAAACATGCGGGGTGTCCCATGTTATTATCGAATAATGCTAATCCGATAGACCGATTAGCACGTGACCAACTAGTCACAAGACTAATTGGATATCTAGGCGAAGCTGCTAGATGATGACAATTTTACGCCTTTAACCTTAAAAGTTTATGAATTGCGCCCAGCACATTTCTCTGATGCTTTTAGACTTACACGATATTTGTCTTTGGCTAATCTAAAATGTTAATCAAATTTACTCATCATGCAATAATCGATGTCAACAAGTGTCAAAACTGTCGATTTTTAATTTGAAATGGTGTCATGAAAGCGAGACTCCGTGACTGTTTGTTGAGTTTCGGGTCCCATTTTAGACACTTGTTTGTTGTTGAATGAGTTATCATTCCTTAAGTCTAACCCGTTATTTTCGGGTGAGTACTTGGGCTTCAATCGAAATTTGTATTTCCCCAGACTGTCCATGTGCAAACAGAAGCACATAAAAAATCGATAGACTGGAACTAAGGCTACATTTTCTCCAGCCAAACTCTTAAACACGTTTGTCTGATTTCTTTGCGGATTCATTTTTTATATATGTTTGGTAAGTCTTCTTTGCCCAAAGTCCTTGTTTGAGGAAAATGTCCCTGAGATGTCCGCGTGCTACTTTCGTTTTTTTTTCAGTCCGGCGTTTTGTTCTTTCTGTAAATGAAATATAAAATATTTCCTAAAAGCACCATTATATCCATCCAATTGTTTGAAACACCATTTGTCTGATTCCGTTGCGAATTCGTTTCTTTAATTTGTATTAGTTTTGAGGGTATTCTTTACAGAAATATAGGACCCAAAGCTCTAACCCAAGCAAAGTATCCTTGAGAATTCCGCGTTGCACGTTCGGTTTTGTTTTGCCGGTGATTTGTTGATGTTTTTTTTCTGTATAAGGTTAAGGTAAAGGTCCTGTTTATTATAGTGTCATCCCTACTGAAAGAGCCCGCATTTTCTGACTGATGAGACATTTTGCTTGCATACCATGTACCTCCCAACTTCACTTCTATGTCAGGCGCCAAGCGGATAGAAATCGGTAACCATTCATTTTACCTCACGGCTCACGAAGAATTTCGAAACGAGTTCAACAAAACATTCATCGTTCAATTTACGCTCCCCGTGGGACTCGAACCTTCGACCGAAGGCGGACGCCTTAACCACTTGGCAAATGAAACCGGTATATAAATATATATAAACCGGTATATACGTTTATAAAATGTAGAAACCTTTTGAAAAAAATTACAATGTTCTCTAGCCAATCGTTTATACAGCATTTGTATGATTACGTTGCGGATTAGATTTTGCATCAATAAAATGATAGGATTCATGCGAAGCATGGTCGTTTTTTGGTCTGGCGATTTGATCTTTCTGTATATAAAATGAAGAACTTTTCAAAGAAAAAGCTCATTTTTCTCAAACCAATCTCTTAAACACCATTCAGATGCGGATTATTTTTTATATGAGTTTGGTAGGTGTTCTTTACAGCAATTTAAGGCCCAAAGCTAAGATCCAACCAATGTCGTTTTTTGCTGTTTTTTTGTACGGCAAGTAGTTCTTTCTGTATATAAAATGTAAAGATTTAGTGAACAGCACCATTATATTATAGCCAATTGTTTTAAAAACATTTGTCTGATTTCGTTGCGGATTCGTTTTTGTATCAGGTTTGTAGGTCTTCTTTACAGAAACATAAGGCCCAAAGCTCTAACATAAGCAAAATGTCCGGAATAATAATAGTTGTGATTTACAGTTGATGAATAACAAACAATCAGGAGTTTGTTCAACTACTTATTATTGTCACGATTTCACACAGTAATGAATCGACTGCTCTAACGATGTCTAAACAGATTATAAATGGTATAACACGATATATTTTTAACTGTTTTGTTTTACCTCACCCGAGTATTTTCCACAAAAACATCTCTCAATTATTTATATTTCCCGGCGGAGCTGTTTATATTGCTTGTTGTTTGAGATATTTTTATGAATAGTTGTTTAATGTTATTTCAAAACATGGTATAATTGATCAATAAAAATCCAGCGTGCGCAAAATCTATATAATATCATATTAAAAGAAAACTTGTTTAGTATGCATAGAAAATAAAAGCATGAATTTGTATTATGTAAATAATTAATATACTTGTCGATCCGAATCAAATTTGAAATACCGTTGATATTCAAACGGGAATTATTTCAATCATGCCAATGTTGTTGATGACTTTAAGATAAGGGCATGCGTAATTTGTAAATATTAAATCAGTTTTCAAGTTGATTTTTTTAATTTAGAATATATATTAATTAAAACCTTTTATGTTCACAAATTCAACCATCATACTTATACCTTTTTAATTTTATTCAAGTTACTTTACTATCTACTGTAGTATCATTTACATTGCTTGCGTTTGACATACTAGATCTATACTAAATCTATACAAACTCAATATGTCAAAATGGAATTCAATGTGGTTATCAACAAAAACAAAGAAAGATATGTTTTGTGATTAACGGATTGATTTTAATTACATGCTGTCTATTTTATAATCATCACGTTACGGGCATCTATTATTCAACTGAAAATGACAGGTTATAAAAATCCATATGCGCAGATATTATGGGTTGGCCGCAAAAAGTTAATTGTTTCCTGATTAAAATAGTTTGTTTGTTTGGAATAATGTTTAATTATTAATTTGAAACTACGCACTAATGTTGCCATGCATCTACAAATAATTATTCAGTGATCCAGACATGTTCAGTATATTTAATAACTTTCTAGTAGAACCAGCATCGCTCTTGCCTGGAATACCATTTGATCACTTGAGATGTAGTTTTTTTAACTTATAAAATGTTATTGAAAATGATGAAATGTGAGTTTATTTTATTGCTTGTTTTTCAAAAAGTTATTGCTGTTACAGTCATACATGTGAATTTAAACAACTTTGAATTAGAGTATTTTGTGACCTATGAAAATTGGTGTAAATCTGACAGAGACAGATTTCAGTTTATAGTTGGTATATCTATCGAACAATGTGTGGCAGAGTGTGGTGCACGGGGTCACTGCAGTTCTCTTATCTATAGAAATCAAATCAATGGATGTGAGCTTTTCCTTACTTCAGAAACGGAGCAGTCAAACCCCGGCGAGTGTGCATATGTTAAAAAAGACAACATCAACGTGATAAAGGTAGTTTACAGATTATTTTTTCTGTCTTATTATATATTTAAAAAATCTTCTTCACTATAATTACTATTCCTGAAATTTCAAAACGAAATATTTACTCAATTGTAAATTTTCTGATGAAAATAAAAAACAGGTAACACTTCAAAAAGCACACTGAGATCCTTTTTTCAGTTACCGAACAATCAGTTTACCGGACAAAATATATTCCAGTATAATAAAGCTTTATTTTTTGCTTCGATTAAAAAATCATCTGGTCTGAATCGTACACACGCTTTCCATTTCAAAGTAAATAACAACAGTACCACTCTCCGGTAAATTATGTTGAATCAGTCATTTATTTAATAACATACCCTTTTACTTTTACTAGTTATTTCATGACCTGGTCATGCGATGGGGTGGGGGAATAATCTGTTAAGTTTATTAGGCCCTTAATTGGTTATTTTAGATGGCTGTCCTTTTATTCTTCTCAACGTTATCTCAGAAGACAATCGTAACACATTTTAATGATAAAAAAATAATTTTAAATTTAGTTCAAACAGTATCTCGTTGTTGTCTTTTACGAAGAAATGCAAATTAAAAAAAAAACATATAAGGAAATGGTTTACACCCATGGGAGAAAACTTTACATGAAATGTAATTTTTTATCGGTTTTATTGCTTTTGCAACATGCTACATGATAACCAAAAGGAAACTGTATGGCAAAGAACAGAATTCCAGTTGAATATCAAAATGTTTCATACGTTTAAGGATCATGAAGAATCAATATGTTAATTGAGTTCGTAGTTTTAATTTCAAGTTCACCCCTATATTGGCCTTTTAGCAGGGCTGCCGTGTCTATTTCTGGCTACAAACTGGGGTTTTCTAATATCTTTAACTTGCCATTCAATAGTCGTAGTTTCCTTGCTGATTATTTAAAGATTAATTTCATATCATGACTTCAAACACAATGTCTGGTAAATTGAGTTGTCTTCACGATTTTTTCTCTAATAATTCCCTACTTTAAAGTCACATTTCTACGGTCAAATGTTTACTTTTATGATTGATTAAGTGTTCTTTGGGTAAAATTCCATGCTTTTTTATTATTTTTCATAAAAGTTACAGCGAAAAAAACATCATATTTTGTCCGGCAATATGTAGGATCTCAATACATAAATATATCGACGTTTATGATTCACAGAATACATACGTGAATTTTCTCTGTTCTAACATTCGAAGGAAATATGTAATATACCAAAAAAATTAAAATTAAGAATAAACAAACAAGTTGTTTGATAAAGTATTGGTATTTTTTATATACAAACGCATTCAACTGTTTTGTGAAAACAATTATTTTACTTTTGATTAAAATGTTGCTTAACTTGATGATGTATTTTTTACATTATGTTACAGTTACTTCAGAAATAGAGTAACGGTATGTGTCGTTCATTTACACTTTTCTGCCCCCGCGCAGGAGATGGGGATTATTTAGATTTGCCCTTGTCGGTCCGTTCGTCCGTACTCATATTGTGTCACATATAAATCTACAAGTGTTTGAGCTAGTGTCAACAAACTTTACAGCACGTATAGCTGTTCGTCTGCGGTTTTGATTGTTTCTATTTTTTCTTCAAACTTTAAGGATACTGTATGTTTTAATTATGAATGACACAACAATTGACAGTGAAAGTTTATATATGTATATAATTATTTTTCTTAAACAATTTACAAACATCCAAGAATATATTTGATATGTACGACAAATGTTTACATACGTCATACTAGTATTTAAAATACATGCATTCATTTCTTATTGAAAAATTTGGCGTAGACTTTTTCGAAAATTAACTTCTAATTGCATCTCTTTATTAACATGAAATATAAATGCGGTAAATATGATCAATATTTATTTGAACATAAAACAATAACAAAAATTGATTTACGTATCATTAAGCATACTTTAGTATTTTAAATCAAAATTTGAAATTCATAACGTTGAGAACTATTATGATGTCAACAATGGAAGAAATATGTCCCAACCGTTTAGGGGAAGAGAGGGTCAAGTAGAACTTTTGTCTGTCTCCCTGACATACTGTTTTGTTTTACCTTAATAGACAGTGCATTGTTGAGGCATCATGACCCATGGACACATTTCTAATTATTTTAAAACTGTGTAGATTAATATACAATAACATGCTCTTAAGGTAGACCATGGGTAATGGGCACCATAAGGAACTGTAAAATTGACAACATAGCACAGTTAAATGTCTTCAAGGTCACCTGTATGCAAAATTTAAATAAAATTTACCGTGTGGTTTATGAGTTATGGATATATTTATGAACTAAGACTTTGCCATTAGAAGGGCTTATTTTCAGAAATGAGGAAACTGTAAATAATCTGTAATATCATCATTATAAAAATGTTTTTCTATTGCTCATTGTTAAGAAACAAATAATAACATTCAGGTAACACATTACACAAGCAAAATGTTTGTTTCTAAACAAAATGTTCTTAATATGTATAAAAATGTTTCCCTACCCCACCCACTTTTAACACTAATTTTACCATTTCCCTATCTAAAATGCCTTATTCAAAATATCCCTAAAATTTACCGAAATGAGGGGCTGTTTTCAAAGTTTGCCTAAATTTTCTTAAAGGTATATTAGTTGATCATGCGAAATATAAAATACTTTTACCGTGTAGTTTTTATTTTATCGAACTTTGAAAATATCTGGTATCATATTTGCTATAGATTTTGGCATTATTTAGCAAAAAAAATACCTAAAATAATTATATAATTGAAATAAAACATTTTTTCTTCCATAAGGGATCAGAGAGATACATAGATAATGTTAAAAAGAAAAAAAGAAAGAAAAAAAAAGTTGCCCCTTCTGGGGTTTGAACCCACGCCCCTCAATTTCAATGTAGTTTACAAGCGATTCTAGCCTATTTGAATACTCTTCAAAGTGGAGGCAATGCATTACCCATGGTCTACCTTAAACCTCCCCTTAACTTTTCGAAATAATTGTAAAAAAAGTTATTACTTTGTTTAATTAATAGAACGTTTTCAAACTCAATCAAAGAGCATAATAATGTAAATAAACCTTCATACTCACTTGACTTTAGCATAGGATGTAAATGAAACTTTGCTAGATAAATAATTTAATGCTTAAAAGTATCAATTTGTCTGACTTCAGAATCCTTGTCAAGACGGTTGTAACTACGGGCATGTCTGTGAATCAATAAATTCCCAAAGGGGAAAGTGTAAAGTAAAAGGTAAATATGTATCATTATACGATAACGATTATTATACAAATATATTTTCATTGTTTCCCCCTTGTTGATGAAGGGTTGCTTTTAAGGATTGAGGAATCATTATTGTGGCCACTGTTTAATCCTGTGTGATCATATGAGGTGACTAAATGGATTCAAATTACTGGAGTCTATGCATCACTTAGTTCCAACAGGTGAGGTTGTTTTGATGCTTGTGTTGCTGTAACGTTGTAACACTCGATGCTAGCCTAAATCATATTTCCAATGTCCGCGCCATATAGCCTAAATTGCGAATAAAACTAAACAAAACAAACAAGTTTCGTATGTTTCCATTGATCAGTGAGTTAATAGCTTTCGTTTCTATTTTACGAGATTAGTTATTGTGAAAAATATATAAGGTAGAGTATTTGTCATTTAATAAATCTGATAAATTAAATTATTTAACATATTTAAGGGCAAACATGCAGGTGATGTTGTATTTGTACAAATGTCCCTGACAAATCTATGGGAATCAAATAGATTCGAATTGAGAGTTGATTGCATGTATTATGTATAAATTTGCGGATGACAACTGCCCGAATGTTGTAATTAAAAAACGTGAAAACTTGCAATATTTAAACCTGATATATACGATCTATATATAAAGCTAACTATAGGTTTGTACTTCTAGTATATATCATGATGAATGTCGACATGATTCCTTAGTCATATTCGCAGCTTGCGCATATATCAACAATAACTAGGAAATAGTCAGTGACGGCTTGCTTGCTGTGTGAGTCATATGTATTTTGCAGTATCCTTACTTTGAATCCAGTCGGTTTATCGTTCAATCAAGTAATGTTACTGTTAATTATATATTTAATAAATTATTATTCAATGAAATATGGGTTGTTGTTTAGAATATATCTTTTCTAAATTAAACGGAATGTTCGAAAATGATAATAAAATGTTAAGTAATATAATCTCACAAAATCCGTTGTTTAGCAAATAATATTTTCAGTCAATCAATAATTAATGTGACACCAAGTCTTATGTTATCCGGTCAATGTATTTCATATTTAACTTCATAAGCTCTTGTTTTTTATGATTTAAGAGTGTATCAACACAACGACACCTGAGAATGGTATAGTTCTTGGGAATGAAAGGGGAATCGGCAAAAAGATTCGTTACATGTGTAATCCCGGGTACAAACCAAAAAACGACGGCGTAGAACCTGAAGCTGAATGTCTTTACAATGCTCAATGGAGCCATATAACAGAATGTGTAAAAAGTAAGAATATACATTATCATACGTTTGATTTAAGTTCAAAAATCTTATTTAATGATGTAAATTTAAATGTATGTATATAGAAACTGGAAGTATTGTTGACATGTCAGTGGACAATAGTTTGATATTAGACTCGTTCTACAAACTTTGACTGAATTATAATATTCACTGATTAATTCATCGGATTACAGTATAGAAAATGCAGTGATTAAAACCGCTGCCATTGTTTTCATAAAGCAAAATCACGTGAAGAACGACATATGTACTTGTCAATGTGTTAATGATGACAACATGGTGTTTTTGGTAGTTTTCACGTCGGATCACGGCATACTAAATATCAACGCTGAGGAAGTTAAAACACCAATTAAAGCATTAGAAAACAAATACTGGCCATGACAAAATTGTATTATTTCAATTTTTAAATCAACTGACATGAATAAGTAAGTGTAATGTACACTTATCGAAAAACGACAGTTTCATTTAGAAACAGATCTTGCAGTCCTATATATGAAAAATAATTGCTTTGACAAAACACTGAAATAACCTATGCAAATAAAAGCAGTTTCATTTCCTCTAAGTATACTTTCTAAAGATACTCAGCCTACATTTTTCACCAAACCGCAAGGACTTAGAGCTAAGGCATTTTGCATCAAACGTTATATATTCAACCTCTTAAATGGATGTGTTAAAATTATTGCTCTGAAGAAAAGAAAATAACCATGTCAAGGAGTATTTGTTCTTCTATATGTATATAAAGTAAAACCAAATTAGAAATAAAAATTCCATCAATGAAATAACCAAGAGCTAGAACTTAGACAGTCTAAAGACAGGACCACTTAAACGTAAAATACGCAGATCTATTGCTACAACTCGCTTTTACCTACAGTCCTTATATTTTTTGTGAAAGATGATCACATAAATGGATGTCGATAATTGATTTTGTGGCTAGTCAGTCAAACTTGTGAAGTTCCCTGTAACCATGATCGTTACAAACTTGTAGGATCAACAGCTTAAGTATGTTTGGACTACACTTAAAAAGTATGTGAAATGTATGCATTTCGTACTGTTGCACCTATGAAAGTTATATGGACAGCTAAGAATAGTTAGTTTTTTTAATTTGAGAATTTACTGGTAGAAATATACTATTCAAAATTTGATTTTTATTTCTGAAAAATAGCTTTAATATTTAACCCAAAAATGGTGATCACCCATTGAGCGTTTTGCAACCGTTTGCGTTGCGTATGCTTATCATTACCTTGTACATTGTTTAAAACTGGAAAGCGACGGTCAGCTGCACGTATTTCAGTGGGATTTTTGACGCGAATGTCAGCACACGCCAATAAAGACCCTGATTTCATTTTGATGGACAGCAATGGCCATCCAAACAGGTCATGGGCCACCATCAAGTACCTGTATAAAGGAATTTAGAGTGAATTGACAGGTCGACAAGGTCCCCATACCTTACTTAATCCTGTTGCACATGCTGCTGACCGCAGCATCTGTCTGACCATTCCATTCGAACACGATTCAAGAGCTTTAACAGGCCAAATTGGATGAGTGGGCGCAAACCCCCCGACCGACAAAGGAAATTTTGGAAGGCTTATTATCAGTATCCATTTTTTTTTCTAGAAAACCTTATTTAATTACCGTGTTTGCCCGAATTATTGCCGCTTCTAAACAATTTCAATCGCTGTTCCGTTTCAACAATTTGTCGGCTCATTCGTAGCACAATACAGATTTTAATCAAATATGAATCTATTTTCAAGCTTTAACCTTATTTTAAAAAATAAACACATTCTTATAAGTGATTCTTATAGGATTGTTAGTAATATAGTCAAGCAATTCAGACAAGTCTTTTAATTTATTAAATTCATTTTATTTATTAATGTTTATTTATTTATATCAATGTTTGCAGACTAGATTGTCTGTATGATGCAAAATAGCAATATCTGCCTGACACTATTTTAAATAAATTAAGCATAGAATAAAATACATAATAATAACATTTATACTAGAGGGCCATGATGGCCCTGAGTCGCTCACCAGAAATAACTGCTTTAAAGTGTTATCCATTGTCAATATTTTCTTATATTAAATTTGAGCATAGAATATGTTTAAACAATAATTTTAAGATATGCCATGACCTCGGGTATTTAAGCTTTAGTTTAAACGGGGCCAATCAAATTAATATGAGCAAACTTTATAAAAGACTACATAAGAATGCTACAGACAAAGTTTGGTTATCATCTATCAATTAATTCTGTCGTAGATGTTTAAAGTTATTTTCTTCTATTTTTAGCTTTAGCAGCCCCTAAAAGGGGCCAATCACATTAATATGAACAAACTTGATAAAAGACTATCCAGTAATGCTACAGAAAAAGTTTGGTGACCATCAATCAATTAGTTCTGTTGTAGAAGATGTTTATAGGCTTTTTCTACTTTTTGCTCTGTTGATCCCTAAAAAGGGCTAATTGTAATGACATGAACAAAGTCAAGCGTGACTGTCACAAGAATGCTCCAGACCAAATTTTAAATAAATCTGCACAGCAGTTTCAGAGAAGAAGACGATTGTTAACCCATGACGACGGACGACGCACGCCGGATCATCCCCCTTTGATACTAATAGCTCACCCTGAACCGTCGGTTCTGGTGAGCTTATAAATATTAATTAGTTAGTGTTTAATATAATTGTACAGTGCTGTATACTTGGACTACTTGGTCGTCTTGGGGACATTGTAGCGTAAGCTGTGGTAGCGGTCTAAGGACTAGGCAAAGGACCTGTTCAATACCATCAACAGGCGGCGTAAATGGAACAAATTGTGAAGGAAACGACCAACAACCCGATGAATCAAAATGCAATGAACAAGACTGTCCGAGTAAGTTTAAATAGTATTTAAGGTGCACTATTACTTACCATTTTCAGCAACTAATACTATTTTATCTTGGTAAAGATTGGCATAGCAATCGTATCAATGATTTATTTATATGATCAGAGTGTAAACAAATATTTCAACTTGTATCAAAGTCGTTCATACACTGCTCTTTCAGTAAGCTACATTGTATCGAAAAGTCGATTAAGACCACTTTCAATTTATATACGAACAAATATTGCAACTATGCTTATAGTTATTTTAGGTTTTAACGTTTTAAATTATAAATATTAGTAACATTAAACTCTTATATTTCCACCTAACGTTAAAAGCAAACTTTTCTCACACCAGACAACGTATGTCGTATTTATGAAATATAACAAAGCCAGTTGAAAAAATACCGAATCATTGTATGTTTTGATTATTTCATCTGTATTTTGATATTTATTTTCTATACGTAACTGCAGAGTATTATAGAATACTGATTAATATATATTATGTCCAGCACCTACATTCCTGAACAGTTGTGCATCTGATACAGATTGCATTGAGAAAGAGGGGAAGTGCACACACGGTTTTTGCCTATGTAAGCACACGCATTTCTACGATTATTCCACTAATAACTGTACAAGTAAGTTTCAAAAACGTTTCAATTACATAGAATTTATTATCTATATTTTGAATAGAAACCTTCACCACGACTGCCACCTAGTTTTTTATATATATATTTAGATTTAAGATCGGATAAGCCTAAGCTATTTTATTCAGGATACTGTTTACACGTGTTTTGATCCTGACTTTAAAATCACCAAACATTTCGAAGAAAACAGATGACAAAATAATGTATGCGGTATGATCCTTACCTTGTGAGATAATTAATACAAGACACAGGTTAAATGGTCAAGTATAAAATGTTATTTTATACTTATATTACCCTAGCCGCCCGCAAGAATTACGAAAAAAAAAGAACTATTTAATAATATTTTTAAATCCTGTCTTTATAAACTGTCATTTTTGAAAACTTAAACTTTACGGGTCATACCATATACACAAATGTCAATCGGTTTCTTGTCAATTTCATTGACAAAAATGGCTCCGTTGTTGTGTTTTGTCCCGCTAGGACTGACAATAATTGGCCAATATTAATGTTCCTTAGATGAAATGAAGGTCTAGACAAATAAGATGTGTGCAAAAATGCAGATTATTCACTCACTACAATTTTTTTCGGGACAATTATTCCTATTTTGAAAAATAATCTAAACAATAAGGATTAGAGTTCAATTTCTTGCTAAGAATTTTTTATTTATTAACACTTGCGTACCTTTGATTTTGTGTTTAGTAACTAAACTATTTAATGTCAGAAATTGTATGTTTAAGTATGTTTCTTTGAAGCTGAAAGAAAACGATACGTTTGTAAACAAATAGTATCAATCTCAATATCATCAAATGAAATGTATCGTTGCCTGCATGCAGTATATTATTTTAGCTTGATCGTCTACTAATTAAACATTGCTTATATTAGTAAAAACAAATGCTTCTTCGTCGTCATCCTTATAACCATTGTTGTAGTCGTCATACTCATAGAAAATGGGGTCTTTAAAAAGACAAATATATATCAAATTGTACTTTTGTATTTCATTTCAGTTTGTACTCAGACGCAAACATCCTTCGTGATGCTACATAAAAGATATATACCGGATATTAAGATTGGTGATAATCTTCAACAGGTAACAGTTGAAGAATGCAAAGAGAAATGTATTGCAAATAAATTGTGCTTCTCGTTTGATTTTTGGGGTGGTGACAGTTGTTCTTTTCAGTCAGTATCGCTTGAGATGGCACAAACTGCTGGCGAAAACGTGCCAATTACCTATCAGGCAACGCTTGATCTTTATTTCCGAGAATGTGTTTCCAATGATTTACCTTGACAAACTGTTGTTATAGAACTATACATGCATAAAGAAAATTGTATGCAAAATAAAATCTTTTATTTTATGCTTTTCAGTGGATTACTGATTTATCCGTGAAAATTATATTTGATAATTTCACAGTGAAAATTATCAAAATATAATTTCACTTTTTTCAATGACGAAACTACTTTTTTAAGATTTTCCCCATGTGGTACCTCAATTTTATTTGTACCGACAATTCTGACAATGTCAGGCTGTTAAAAGAAATAGCAAAGCTGAAATAGATAAATAACTTAAATGTCAAAAGTAACACAGAGAGAAAACTTACTTCTATTCCTTCAAATTCCAATCACCAAATTTTGTCTCTAAATTTTTTTTGTTTCAATTTTACAGTCTGAAAAATACATTCCTTCCCCATGCAAAACGGGCTCTTGATGACATTTGGGCATATTAAAGTATCCTACGAGCAATAACTGCCGTATGCTTTATGAAAAATTGAAAAGCATTGACAGCCATCACTCGTAAAATAAGTTAAAACAACCCAGCGTTCCTTCAGCAAGCTTCCAATTTTTCCATTTTCCTAGCTCCTTTTCTGAATGTTTTCACTTCTGTCAACACTTATTTTTTGTCAGTTACAATCCTCAAATAAGTTTTCTTTCTTTTAAAAAGGTGTATGACTAACAAATCCAAATTATATCCTTCTGAATCTTACACAATTATTTTCCTCCCATGAAATACACAACTTTGAAAAATGGCTGCCGTTTACATTTTAGAAAGCCAGGTCTAATATAAATTCGCAGTAAGTAACAGAAATATGGATGGATGGTTGGAATTTTCTCCTGCAAGAATTGTTTGTTTTTATGATTAAAACAAGCGATCATTCATATTTTTTTAATAAAATGAATAAATATCACCGTCATTTAACCTTGATTGGCTGACTTATTTTTCAGCTCAAGACTTCTTGTTTTAAATGAGAAATTCCGTCTAAATGGGGCTCTCAATGGGGGAAACAAATTTTAATATTAACGTTAAAATTATGGAAATTTCGTTTTAACTTGTTTTTAAGCATAAAATAAAAAGAAAATTTGTCTGTTTGTTGTGTAAGATGTAATTTTATTTCTTCTCGTGAACTTTAAAAACAGTATTCTCACTCGTGGCTACGCCACTCGTAAGAATACTGTTTTTAAAGCTCACTCGATGAAATAAAATTTCATCTTACACACAAACAAACAAATATCCTCTATATAGTATGTTGTTCTAGATTCATTGGTGGTGAATTTGTAAATTAGTGTATTGCCTTATCATCTATCTGTAAAATGTTTTCAACTTTCAAAAGACAATTGTACGGACTATGAAAGAAATGTTGCATAATATTCAATATTACAGGTGTACAGAAAAAGAAAAAAAAAGACAATATAAAAGGCCAGGTTAGCAATATTGACAAACAAATGCGTTTGTAATTGATTCCGGTAATTGTTTTTCAAATTATGATATTTAAACATAAGTAAAGAAAAATAACCATCTCTAATCTGTAATCAGAGGCAATGGAAACCTATTGTATCTCATTTTCAAGCTTCACACCATCAGGCATGTGCATATTGGCATGGCAACTTGAATTGTTCTTATTAACAATAAAGCGAAAGTGAAAAATCAAAATGAAGCGATTCAACTTTCACTTACACATTTACTACCAACATGCCAACACCAGTTACATAATATTTGGCATTTCTCTTATTCAGCATGTAACGAAGGGTACAATGCTACTTCGGTAAAATAAATATACATGTCTGTCACATTTTGCATAATACTGTGTAAAGTTTCAGCTTGTTACTGTTTAAGTATGTATTGCTTTAAAATATATTCTTATCAACGAGTTTTTGCCGCTTTATATATGAGAGGTTATCCAGAAGTTCATGAGAAAATGTAAATAAATTATCACAAATCGCCTGATAGTGATGCAACTTGGTGGATATATCATTTTTTGTTATCGCTATAAACCGTATTGAAATTTTTATTTAATATGAAACGCATTCAAACAGGGCATTTGATAAAAGTCATATGCAACGAAGTGGCGCACTTCAAAATGTTAAGTATTTATTTTCAAAGAACGCAGCTGCCGACGTTATTCACTTCTGATTTCGCCCGATGACGACATACCTGTTTAAGCCACTTATTTGGGTTAAAATATAAATGAAATTGTTTTGATTCCACTTTTAGTTCATTGAGGTGTTGCCGTTCAACTGGCCTTTCAATTAAGGAATAGTTTGCGAATCCTTTAGAATATTGTAACCAATACTGCAGCTGTCCTTGGATTTCATCATTCAGTATTGTTTCTCGTCCATTGATTTTTACAATCGTACACTAACGACCAAACAACGCATGTGTTCCTCGTTAAATCTGATATTTTCAACGGTTCCATATTTTAACTATCGTATGGGCAAGACCTACACAATTTTTCCTTTTTCCCGGCGACAATTTTACGTAGAATAGAGAAAATAAGAATCCCTACAGAAAACCCAACACAGCAAAATTCGTCAATAGCAAGGACATGAGGCAGTCTGTGTTGTGTTACTTAAGTAATGTACTCAGATGCAAGTGAGACTGGCTATGCCGGTTATGAGATCAGTAAGGTCAACCAGGTAGGCTATCTCATGGCGTAGGGTCAGAGGAAGGGAGTTTGGAATTATCTACTTGGAGAGATTTAGTAGCTGTATACCAGTTTCCTTTGTTATTAGGTCATATATTGAGACATCCAAAGGTCAAGTGGTTAACATACAACAAGGTGTTTAATCCATCGCAGCTGACTATTTGTCTAGATTAACTTAGTTTGGTGACTGGGGAATATTGTAATAGATATAATATGATATTTTGCAAATGATTTAAAGTTTGGCAGTTACACGCTGACTGTTTTGCGTCGTATTACAATACTCGAGGTTCTGGAACCTGTCCTGTAGTGGTGTTGATGCTGTCGCAGAATATTGTTCCCCCCGATTACTATTTTAACAAAATGCTTAACAAAATTGCTGTTGATAAAGCTCGAGGTTATTCTTTGCTGGAAATCTGCTATTCTCTTTGCCTTTCTATTGCTCAAATGTATATTTTAGGCTAGAACGTGTCAATTGGTTCGATTTGCCAATAGAAAACATAACTACGTAATGGGTTAAAATACCAAGCGCATTTTTGGCAATTCAGATTTGAAATTTATTAAGTAAGTTAGCGCTGAATATTAATTTTACACAAGGGAACTAATTAGTACTGATAACGAGGTATAATGATATAGAGAGTATCCTCCCTTGAAAAGTTATTACAGCAATATTGCCACGATAGATTTCAATTATTTTATACACATATTGAATTTGAAACAAAGTACTCCAAATTGTATGCTTTAGTGAGATTTAAGGATATAACCTTTATCTATTCATATAAAAAGTAAAAAGAGTGTTGTGCTTTTGGATTAAGATTTTAAGTAGCAAACAAGAATCAATAAGCCATATCTTGTATGATATGTCACACACTTTGTATTGTAGAAATGTGTTGAAACTCCCATGGATGAATAGTGTTTGTAAATTACCAGAATCACTGGGGTTATCAAATTTTTGGATGAATAATGTTGCATTTCTCTTCCATTGTTTAAGCCAATTGTTAAAAATAGACTGAAAGATCAGTTCATTCAAAATTGGCATAGTGAAATGTCAGAATCCAGTAAATGTCTGAATTATAGAATGCACAAATGAAAAGTAATTAGATATTTTACCATCTCATTTAGCTTTGGTACTTTTGCGCTATAGATGTATGAACTATAAATTGTAATACTCCAAGAGAATTAAGAGTATGTAACTAATGCAATACTAGCTCACTTGCTGATGAATATCATTACTTATTTAATTGTCAATAATTCTTTAATACTGATTGAAAAAATATATTACTAGAGAGTATAGTACTAATGTTAATTCAATCAAGTTTTAAATGTTAATGAATAGCACAGATAGGAGTATTTTTAAAACGTCCAGTATTCTGTAAAAAATTAATCAGCATTTAAGTAACTGATAGCTAAGCTGATTTTCTTAATGTAACACTTTCGTTTTTTATTTATATTTGCCATGTAGTACATAAGTATATTTTGTGGAATTCTTTTTATGACATTAAATATTATATGTAATATTATTGTATATGTGACTGATGCCTCTAAGAGGCCCAGCATTTTCGATTAACTGTTCAAACTGTTCAAACATATTTGTCATGCCGTATGGCTATATAGTATCCAATGCCAATATTGCTCATAGCACTGACTAGAGTATCTCACTTACATACGAAGGTATCGTCTTCGGATGTTGTTTAGAATGTAAATGTGTTATTAGCTATATAGTGTTTTTTAAATACATTTGTTGTTTTCCCCCAAATTCATGCGAATGCTATTTAAATATTACTAAACATGTTGGAAGAGAAAGTGCAACTAATTCCAGACCTGCTCCGGAAAGCACGTGCATTAAACACAAAAAAATATTATTATTTCGCAAAAATATAGTAGTGCATTTTTTGCGTTTTCAATAATGGGCTTTGAGCAATGGGCTGAATAATAGGGGTATGAGTATGTGGTCAGTAAGGTCAAAACGTTTCTCATGGCGACGTTTCAGAGGAAGAGAGTTTGAAATCCTCTACTTGGAGAGAGTAAGTAGCTTTATACCAGTTACTTTTGTTATTCAGTCATATATTAAGACATCAAAAGGTCAGGTGGTTTACAGACAACCGATGTGTTAAATCCATCGCAATAAGAAGGAGTGGATTCCAAGGTCCTGCAAATGACAAGACAAACTATTTGTCTAGATTAACATAGTTTGATGATTGGGGAATATCGTAATAAATATGATATGATATTTTGCAAATGATTCAAAGCATGTTTGGGCAATTACAAGTTGACGGTTTGCGTCGTATTACAATCTTCTAGATTCTGGAACCTCTCCTGTATCGGTGTAGATGCTTTCGCAGAATATCGGAGCGATGATTTTGGTTTATTCGTTCCCACAATTGGTATTATTCACAGAGTTCTTAACAAAATAGCTGTTGATAAAATTCGAGGGGTCTTAG